TGAATAATTCCCAAAATATATGTAAATCCTTTTTGTATAACTCCTCTTTAAGTTGGTCAAATATTAAAGTTCTAATGTTCATTAATCTGGTACAATCAAATACAAAATGATTGATGGTTTCCTTTGTCAGACATTGAAAGCCAGACATGTGGAAATATAATCAGGTGAGATTAGGTTCAACAGGGGCGAATCAAGCCTGCCAGAAAAAAATGGGGGGGGGGGTGGCGAAAACTTTATCAGGGATGCCTTCAAAAGAAAACTCAAGTAACAACCACCTCGTTTTTAACTGCATTGATTTTAACCCATTTCAGATAAATTTACTGCATTATACTGTTCTCCTTTATGATAACGATAATGTTGCTGTTGGTTCGCTTCAATTTTTTAAAAAGCAGTATCTTTCTATATGACAACCTTAAGTCAATGTCTGCCAAATGTCTTTGAAAAGAAGCTATTTGTACCAGTGCCAGTAATCTACAAGCAAAGCGAGCAGCCTTAGGTTGGGGGACCCGCCTAGGGCACCCTCAATTTGAAAATTAAGGCTGGTGGAGATTGTGGCTAAGAAATGCAACAGAGAAAAGGTACTATAATTTTGGGTTTTTTTTGCCCACTGCATACCTTGCTTGCCTTGACGATCTGCCACTGTTTGAATTGTTTGGTAAGAGTGTTATTATCCCCTTGCAAGCCTAAAAAAAAAGGTTCATTAAAAATCCTACGGCCATTATCCAATGCAGCTAGAAAGATCCTATCTCTTTTTACATTATCGGATTGGACCACTAATAGACCAATACACTCGGCTGGTTACAAGCATTGTTGAAGTTGTTCTGGTGTGGTGTCAGAGAATGCTTGTAGCAGTTGCAATAAAAAACAATGGGTATTGATATGAGTATTGCATTTGATACCATCCGAAGGTCTGCTACAGTATACAGAATCTGCTTGAATCTGCTTAATGACGCAGGGTAGCAACACCCTGAACTAATGTCGAAAGCTCTGTGAGAAGCCAGAGCTCCTATATATTATTTGGATTTAAAATTGGGTTAAAATTTAGCAACAATGTGGCAACCTGTTTGTGAAGTTCAGATAATGCAAACAAGGTTAGAGACAACAGATGAGTTGAGAAGAATAACTGTAAATATACTGTACAGTAGGTGTAACAATTACTGTAGTAAGAATAAGAAAGAATCAAGATTATACCGACATAATACGATTAGTGAGAGCATACAGAATTCGGTGAGTTTGGTTATCTTCCAAAATATTGTATATTAATTGAAATTTGGCCAATTTTAAATTTGCTCTCATTCTAAAGCTCCAGGGAGATGTTAACCTTGCTAAAGCTATAATAAGATTTGTTTTAAGATCCTGGGACCTGTCTTATAAAATGAGGTACCTGTTGTTAGCATTAGAATGCCTATTTGACCTACTGTATGTGGTGACGTAGCCCAGTAGTTTTCACAGCTACAATATGTTTTATGATTTGAAGATTATAACCAACATCATAAACCAAAAACCGTTTAACTGAGTTAGTTAGGCTAAGCCTTGTTTGTCTGATCTACCAACCCATGCCTAGATAGGTTAGCATGGCTTGAGTAGAACAAGACTTATAGTGGTGTGT